CACACTAAATCATTTACCTTGTCAGTAGATTAAATCATTTAACTTGATGCAGAGTCTATTACTCTTGAACCAATAATTCAAAATTTATTCAATTGCACAAACTTCATGAAAATAGGAATTTAAAGTAACATATATAACCATGATAATATAAAGACATGTCAACATACAATAAATATATATATATATATATATATATATATATAGATTCGATTCTTGAATTGATTCAATGTAAACAAAGTCTAAACCAAGAATTAACCAAATCCTATTAGTTTAGTAATTTGAAAATCTGAAAACAAACCAATACACTAAAAAATCAAAGCAAACCAACTCAAAAAAATTGATTTATTTTATTTGGTTCGGTTCTTCGATTCTCTACCCCTAGTGGTGGTCACCGACCTTATGCACACACCCCTAACTTGGATTGCACCTTCCTAGTTCCAATATCTACTGTCAATTGGAGACCAACCTCAACCAAAAATAAATAAATAAACAAACAAATTTTAAATTGTTAGTATTGATCTTTGGAAAAACATTTTGATTTGGAATTTTTAAAAATAATTTTATAAGTATTCAATTCATATATTTGTATTTTAATTACTTTTTAAAATAAAATTAATTTTTTTTATACTGTTTAGATCTACATAATCTCAATATATGTTTTTTTAGATTTAAATCTCAATATACTCAAGAAGTATAAAATTTATATAATTTTTTTAAAAAAATTCATTAAATACAACAAAATATAAAAATATACAGAATTATCGAATTTTCTTATTTTTTTGTAAGGGAATTTTTTTTAAGGTCCCTGATGTTAAAATTTTATAAGATAAAGAACATACAATATTTTCATAGTAGTCAGAGTTCTTTAACATTTTCACAGAGAAAATTTGACATAGAGAAATTCCACCTTGATACAGAGAAATTTCAATTTTCGCATAGAAATTTCTCTAATCTGAACATAGAGAAATTTCAAATTTTCTCTTGTATGATCATAGAGAAATTTCATCGAGGGACCTTAACTATTAAAAAAAATATATTGGACCTCTCCTGCTATCCAAAGTTGGAGAGGAATGTTTCACTAATTTTTTTTTTTTTTTTTTTGGGTTTAGGGAGAGTTTTAAAAAAAAAACAAAAATATTTTTTTTTTTAAAAAAAAAAAAAAATCTTCAAAAATAAAGTTAAAAATAATATTTTTTGAAATAAATAATAAATAATTTTTTTTAAATACAGTTCTGTAAAGAATTTTGAAAAGTGTTTGGATGAGTTTGGAAATTTTTTTTATTCAAATCATGATTTGAGTTCTAAACCAAACTTTATCAAAGTTTTTGGAACCATGTTTGATTTTATAATTTTATTGCATATATAAATACTAAAATTATTCATTTTTTACTTATGCTATGCACGGAAATTATTTAAAATATTAAGTGATAAATCTAATTTGAAAATATTATACTATTGAATAATTCGATTATAATTTATTTTTCCCAACAGTTATAATTTGAAAATAGATTTTGAACATTTTCGATGGGTAATGTTATTAATTTATATAATTTTTTTTATGAGGTAACTGATTGAACGCAAAATTTGATATATTTTAATTTAAAAATATTATTTCTTAAGAGGCAAATCTAACTGGTATAACCGACAATATTCTATAAATAATCCATACATTTAGTAAATAACCATCCATTATTATTAAATAACTTACCACTTCAATTATTTTATAAAAAGAAAATTATTTTTAAACTATTTGTAGACACCCCATTTTGACCGGCTTTAAGACTTCGGCGCTTTCTTTTGATCACCCTATGATGAATAACAAGAAGGTGTTTCTCACAAAATTCTCAACAAGAAAAATAGAATTTGGTTTTCTCTCAAAAACCTTGCGCCCCATTTTGGCCAAACTATTATAGACCTTAAAACCCTCTTTTCAAAATATTTTTTCAAATATTTCTACGATATTCCGAAACTCCCATTTCAATTAAAATATTGCACTTTTTAGTAAACTGAGTAAGGACAAAGTGAAAATAAATGAAAGAGATGTGAACTCTTTAAAAAATATTTAAAAACATATTCTTTATAGGTTTCGAGTTAAAGAAAATAAGAGGGGATAGAAGAAAACTGGTTTAGGAAAATGATGAGTATCAAATCGTTAATAAAGAAATCAACAGCCTTCACTAAATTAAGAATATCTCTTTGTAAACTTGAAATTTAGATGTAAAGCTACCACCAGTGGAAGGTAGACTTTTGGGACTTCAATTTAGACTCAATAATCACCTAAAACTGAGTCTGGATAAGAAAGATATGCTCGTTTGAAGTCAGACTTAAGAACAGATTTTGTTGATCCGACCCGAGACAGCAGCAGACCCTTTTTTTTTTTTTGGTTCGATTGGGACACCCCATTGACCCATTTTCTGATTCATTCAAGTGCAACCACTCATCCTTCATTATCTCCACTCACCCTCCATTATCAAAAGAGGTTTTGGCTTTGTCATAAATGATGAATCAAAAGTAACAAAGTCTTGATCATCATTATCATCCTTGGCATCCCCGTCACCTTTGTCTTTCACCTTATCCCCATTCCTTGACTTGTTTATTCCTTCATGGCTTATACATTCATCTGGTATATTGAAGAGGTGGAGGATGGAAGGAGGACAAAAAAATCATTCAGGAGAGTTAAAAAGTGTAACGACCTCACCACGTATAATGATTAGTACTTAATTAATTAAGAAGATTTGAAATTTAATTGCCGAGTATTATAATTTAATTTGGGATTTATGAGAATTGTGGAATCTGACTCGTGTATGATTCTATTAAAGATTTATTTTGGAATTAGATATTAAGGATCCAAATGGTTTAAGGAAGTGAAATTAAGAAGTTGAGTCAATTTAATTTTAACTACGGACCCATTTGGGAGTTTAATTAAATATTCGATTCAGTTTAGTAACATTGAGATCCGATTACTTAGGTCCGAATTGGAGAAAATTTAGTTAATTAAATTATGAAGATTGAGAATTGTAATTATTACGAATTAAATTTATTTATGGAGTGTCCAATTTGGATATGTAATTTATTGACGGAAATCTGAAGTCTGATTAGAAATTGAAGGCCCAAATGGCTTGAGAAATCAAAGTTGATAATGGAAATATGTTTAACTTAATATATGGAACCTTTTGGCAGTTTAATTAAAAATTTGATTCAGAATGATAAATTAAATGAAATTAATTAGGCCCTGATGAAAGTCAAATTAGACCGATTAAATTATGTGGGATTTCTGATTAGTCATAATTAATTTAATGATGTGCTAATTGAAAATTTCCTCATTTCTATACACTAAAACCTTGAGCCAAAAAAAATTGTCTAAATTGAGGATTTGATATACCCAAAGATCAATTTCCTTAATCATAAGGAAGAGTGTTTAGTGATTGAAAGTGAGAAAAACTAGAGAGTTAGCCCTTTCCATACCATAAACTCCATAATTTCAAATTGAGGATTTGAGAACACACTTCCTATATTTGAGGGTGATCAAGAAGGAGTTTGTAAACTAAGGAGTTTGTGAAAATCTATGAAAACAAAGTTTGGCCACGCCTACCGAGCTACCCGGCCCGTTAGTTGGCCAAGTAGCCACCTAAAAGTGCACCATCGCGCCTGTGACCTTCATGACCATGCCCGCAACCTCTAGGAAAAATCGGGCAGCCTTCTGACGTTGAGAATATCAACCTCCGATGGTCTTTGAGGCGCTTGAAGTTTCTATTTTCTTATGTTTATTTTATTTTTAGTGTTTTTGAGGATTTTTTATATGGTGTTGTAATATTTATTCATTTTTCTCGGATTTTTAATATTTAAAGTGTTATAATAATTCTCCATCCCCATTTCTTATCTATCTCATTCTTTAATCGCTTTCCCTAACTCTGCATATGTATATATCTTTCATGCCATGCATATCCATGCTTTTACATACATGATTCATGCCTAGATACGGCTAAATTTACATCTTTGTATTTTAATTGATTATTATATGATTTTGTGCACTATCACATGTTTTGTAATGTTTCACATGTCATGTTTTAGAAGCCGGATCTTTAGAAGCATTTTTGTGTATGTATTGCATTAGGACTTTGTATATAGGATCATGCATATTTTACTAACTTTGTTTTGTAACTGCTCGCGGGACGTCGGTAAATATGTTATGCTTTAACATCCCGCTTGTACATAATTTTCTTATTATATTTAGCATCCTACCATGTGGCTATTTGCTTATGTAATATATCTCTATGAATATTGGTGGATGGAAGTTGTGTCGCTTAATTTGGAATGATATTGATTTTCATGTTCATAAACTCAATTTCTTTGAGTTATGCACCTTCAAAATTCTTTCAAAAAATACATGAACTCAAATTGTTTCAAGATGAATGACATATTTTATACTTATATACTTCACATAGTAAATTTTTAGAATTTATTAAATAAATCAGAATATGAACATATAAAGCAAATAAAACTCATATTATAGTTTAGTAAATGCCGATCTTTGATCGGGTGAGCGGGAGTACTCATTATTGACTTTCCCCTCTCATACCTAAGGTTCCGAGCCAAGCATCTTTGGTTATGACGAACAGTGACCTTGGCACGAGTCATGGGTTACCTAATTTCTCAAAATATTAAGTGGCGACTCTGAAATCTGATACATGATCCATTTTTAACAAAATTGCAATAAAATGAATTTTCAATAAAAGTTTTTAAATTTGGACTCTCATTTATGTTTCACATTGCATTCGTAAAAATAGAGGTACCCCTGGGTGATGTTACACTACAAATATAATAATGTAATATTTGCTTAGCTCGAATGAAATTGAATAGAATAGAATAGAATAACCATTTTTCATTCTCTTTGTAGAATGACTGGTCTCTCATAATAATGATTATATTTGTAATATTTTTCCATCATTTTTTAGTGAACCAAACGTGAAAATAAACATTATTATAGAATGGTTATTTCATTTTAATAAATCAAACTTGACATACAAAGACAAGCATTTGTTTTCCATTAAGCTTTAAGAGTATTTACAAGGAGAGGACAGAAAGGAAATCTACACACAAAAAAAAGAAAAGAAAAAGGGGATGCGTTTAGTCCCTTCGGAAAATGTGTGCAAAGATGCTCCATTTGGATTGGGTAGCTGCAAATGTAGCTTGGGCTTGGTCAAATTCTTCCTTGGCAGCTTGTATTGATGAGAGGTTATTTTCGGTCTTGGAGAGTATAATTTTGGCTTCATGGCCAAGTATGTCCATTTCTTGCTGAAGTTCATGCCTTTTTTGTCTGACAAGGGCTAGTTCTGCTTCCAATCTAGCTTCTTCAAGGGCTAAACTTCTGTCTTGATCAGAAAGATTGGAGGAAGCTTGGCAAGTAGTTGTTAATGAATCAGAAGTAGTTTGGACAGCCATCAAGAAGTCTTTCTTTGCTTGAATTGTATTTCTGCAGTTTTGAGCAGTCTCCACAATGACTGGCCATTCAGAAATGATTTGGGCCAGGTGAGAGAGTTGGTTTTGACTGAATGGAGTTGGAGATAGCCTTTGAATAGCAGTCAGGCAATTCAAGGTTTCCATCAATTGTTTTGAGATTATTTCTTCAAAGGAAGTGTTGATGAGGTTCAAGAAGGAAGATATGACTTGTTGATCTTCAGGTTTGAAGTGATGGAGCCTTTTTGGAAGTCGAGAAATGTGTTCAACACTCTTTTGAAAAGCTGCAATCTCTTCCCATATGCTCAGGCTACCAGTATTGGAGGATGAAGAAGCCTATCGACAGAAGAAGTTGAGTACAAAGTAGAAGGTTTTAATCGGAGGAGAGATGAAAATGAAGCCTTACCTGCACAACAGTTGATGCTGGGTTAATGGGGTTGGTAATCGGAGTTGATGTTTCTCCAATTGTTGTTTTCTCCATTGAAACATGAGGTGTTTCAAGGCTGATCAGAGTACTTGGAACCTCTAGAGCTTGTAAGCTTGAGGAAATGCCAGGAGGCTCACTTGTTGCATATGGGTTAATGTCTTCAATGTTTTCATTTACTGATGGATTTTCTTCCATGTTTTTTACCCCAGTTGTTTGGTTGATTCCATGAGGAGAGTCATCCATGGGAGTAGGTGTATGCTCTCCAACTTGTTTATCTGATGAGGAGGCATTGTCCATTTTTTCAGCCCTAACCTCTGTGTTATTTTCATTTGTGGGTTCAGGACAATTAGTTGGAGTTCCTTCAACTTGTGTTTCTGTTCCTGTGATAAAAAGTAAGAGTTTAGTGGAAGGGAATTAAAATTGAGAACCATGTTATTGAGTAGCTTTGGTAAGTTGAGTTTGAGATGTGCTTACCATGGTTGGTTTGAAACTTGGATTGGGAAGGCTCATTGAATTGATCACGTGGTGATGAAATGTCACAGTGAGATCTGGTTGGAATCTCATCAATAGAAGTTGGATTGCCATTTGCAGATGAGTCTAAAGAGGTGACTGAAGGAAAATTTATGGGTTCAGTTGTTCTTGGGTATAGGACTTCCATTGGAAAGGCATCAAGAATAGCATCTCTATGATTGATACTGAAGGGTTCAGTTGTTCCTGGGTCTTCAAGAGTCACATCAACACTGTTGTTCAAAGTGGATTGGTTCAAAATTGGGTCACTTGGCTTGGAAGGATGATGAGGCCGTGTATTTGAAGGAATTTGGGAGGCCTCTTTAGGTGTGGAATTGGGACTTTCTTCATCTTCAATATCAGTTGAAATAAGATCTCTTCTCATTTTTCTCTGTAAAGGACAAGACTTGAAATGAGTTATATAACAATTTTAGAAGGTATGTTAGCATAACGTGGAGAGTTGTACCTGATATGTTTGGTCTGGGGAGTTATGGACTGTTGGTCCAAACATTTGGCTCAATGGAATCTCCCGTTCACTGAATGTGGGGTTAAAATCTTCCTGAAGCATGGATGTGGTGGAAGGTTCTTGCCTTTTCTTTGATCTCACCTCCCTTGAGGTTGTTTGAGTTGCTTTTATCTTCCTTTGTTCCTGTTCTTGGAGATCTGTAATTGAGTCTCTCATGAGCTTTGGCATAGATGGAGGGGCACTTTTCTTGACAGCTTTGTTTATAAAGCGACGATGCCACTTCTCAATACCATACTCTCTACATGCACGCTTCAACGTAGATTTACTAGCTGCGAAAGGAAGAAACCAAATAAGAGATATGACTTTCTATTTGTTTATAGAAGAGTCCATCTAGTTGAAATAACTACCAAGATCACAAGCAACCTTATATTTTAATTTATGAAAGTGAAATCATACCTCCGAGGCTTTGGGCGGCATCCCCAAGTTTCATTTTTGAAGTTTGTAGGATTTCTTCTAGGGAAATTTGAATTTTAACTCCCGTTTTATTGTCTTCTCTGTCTGACAACTTTACTGTGCCTCCAGATTTGTCACCTTTTCTTGTTGACGCCTTTCCTGTGCCTCCGGATTTGTCACCTTTTCTTGTTGACACCTTCACTGTGCCTCCAGATTTGTTGCCTTTTCTCTTTGACACCTTCACTGTGTCTTTCTCCTGTGTACAAGTAATAGCAATGTTGTTATGTTATGTCTTTCTCCTGTGTACCAAATGCTTGTATTTTTCTATTTTAATGGCATAGGTGTTAAAAACTTTAGACCAGGTCAACCCATTCAAACACATTTTTTTCATTTTACTTTTTAATAAGCAAAAAGGCACCAAGGGGGGGTTCCCACCAAATGTATATGTCAGAAGCTTGATTTTTTGAAGCTATTTGTGTTTTAACTTGTATCAAAGCTCTGATTCCAAAAACTAAGTTCAAGTTTTGTAATCTGTTTTGTTCCCCACTATGCTTATCATGCAGCACACTATTCTGTGTATTTGTGCACCATGTTCAGTTCAGGACTGATTCATTGGTTTGGTCCTCCATGTGCAAAACATAGTCACACGCGAAGGAGGTGTTAGATAGCTTGACACACATTGTTGGGCCATTTACTGGCAACTCATGCTTTTGAGGCAAATAATGTTCTAATAACAATATACATCAAGGGTCATCTACAAAGAACCCACATCCAGTATCTAAGGCCGCGTTTGATAACTTTGCTAGTTTCCAATTTTCTCATTCCAAAAAACCATGTTTCATTTATCAAATTTATTTTTTTTTCCTTTTTTGCAAAAACAAAGACAAATAACATGTTTTGCGTACACATGTTTTCAAAACAAATAAAAACATAAACAAGAAAACATGTTTGGTGAGTTGTAAGAGGGACAGTAGCCAAAAGAGGGCAGAGGGGAGAGGGAGTGAATGAAAATTTATTTTCAAAACAAGTGAAAACACATTTTTTGTGTTCTCACTTTTTTCCAAATTTTTGGAAATTGTTGCATTTTTGGCAACAAAAACCATTATCAAACATGTTTCCATTTCTATTTTTCAAACAACATAAAACAAAAAAAATAACCAAACATGCCCTAAAGTATCAACAAAATCCAAAAGTTTATCAAGGGAGGGATGCACCCTTGCAAGGACAAATTTATGCCAAACAAAATAAAAGGCAAGTTCAACTGATAAATAGAGACTTCGCGTCCTCAAAAGAAGCCTATTCCATTCCCACCATTAACACCACATCAAACCTAAGGATGCAACCGCCCCAGCTTCCTCTTACTAAATAGAAAGAAAAACATGAAGAACGGAAAGAAGAGAAAAACATTATCAACACTAAGAAGCTATATCAACATATCGGATATGTGAGTCCCGTCTCTCACAACATGCCGAAGTCCATGTAACATGAATCACAAGCTTCTCAAAGCGGTTCATACTCACTTTAGTGATTACAATTATACCATAGTTATCAGATACACAGACCAAGTAGGAAACTAAAAACTTCAGTTAACTAGGAAAACATATTTTCAATAATCATTCGGCATTTAACCATGGGTGTTCAATGTTAATCACTAAAATCCAGCAGCATAAAAGGCAACATTAAAAGAAAATAATAACCAAAACAAACACCAAGGCATCAGATTCAACCTTCAGTATTATAGGAAGTGTAGATAGCTCAACGGCAGGCAACTCCCTCACTTCACTGTTGACACTATGATGAGTCTCATCTGCAAAAGTAACAACAAAGATCAACTATTCATAGCATCATGAATAATACAAGTTTTTTTTATGAATAATTGTTTAAAATGACAAAATACAAATCTGCAGGACAAAGGGCCTGTGAAGGCATTTAACTAGCAGTGCTGAAAAAATAGTTGGTAATGTGTTTGGCAAAGGTTTCCTAAGAAGTGCTGAAATAGGGACATATATGAAATTATCACTTTTCTTGAGACAAAGTTCAAAAGTTTATATAATTCAATGTAGGGTAAATTACAATGACCCCTCCCTTGAAGTATAGAAAAATTACAATTAACCCCACAGTTTTAACATAATTACAAAAGCTTCCCCTCCACTAACAGCAGGTTAAATGAAGCTAACTGAGTTTATGAATTTACTATCACACCCTTCATTATTTTTTATTTTATAGAATAATTATTTCTTTAAAAAGAAAAGAAATCTTGTGTAATAGCTCATGAATGCACTGAGAAATCTTGTATCTTGCCTAACATACACAAGATTTCTCAATGGATGTGCACCAAGAGATCTTACCTAGCATACACTAGATTTCTCAATGTACTCTTAGCTTTGAACTATAAATGCTAAGCAAACTTAAAGAGTAAAATCTAATACCACTTAACTCCATCAAACACATGGATGGACACCTTTCAACTATTTGGTTACTCAACCCAACCAGGAAACTGACTTATACAAGTTACAACAAGAATTCTATTAGATGTCCAACACATATGTTTTCTACGAACCTATACAGATAGCATCCAATACACAAACAACTAAATTTACGTTGGTATGATGTTAACAATCATAGATCACCAATAGATAGTTTTAGCCTCCCTAAGACGTTTGAGTCAAATCAAAATAGAAACAACAAAACCAGTTGAAATTAGAAGGTTAAACAATGATTCAAGTACCAATCTGACTATGTTCGTTCCAATCACCCAAATAGATCCAATATTTTAACATCCAAACTAAAGTAGCAATATCAAGGCTCTCGAATAATCTTGAGAAAAGAGAAAAATAAATTACAGACTATCTACACAAATTGGACCAACAAGACCTTCCTATAATTAATCAGATAGCAACAAGCTTCTAACTTTACAGATATTGGGAATTCAAGAAAGGATAAATCACATGAAAATATGACAATAATTGTTTTAAGAGTGGATCATAAATAATACTTACTGTTAAGAGTATTAAAATGCATATTTCTTTGCACACTACAAATGTGATCCCTACGTAAAAAAAGTATGTCATTAGGTAATAAAGAAAAATAAATAAAAGCTTAAAAAACTACAAACCAATAGAACACCAATGAGAAGATACTATTACTAGTTACCATATGTATGAGCACCCTGTACTCTCCTGAAAGCTAAGAGCTAATTCGGTTGACAACTCTGGATCTCTCCATGAGATAATTGTATCTGGAAGGAGGGGAAAAAAACTAAATTAAGCAATAACCCTAAGGAAAAAACGAATAACAAGAATCACTTGTGTAAACATAACGAATACCTTCTTGTTTTCGGTAAATATCATCTGAACTAATACGGTGAACAAGTAATGTTTCATTGTCTTCTTCATCAATAACAAACAAACCCAGTTCTTCCGCTCTCTGTGCCATGACATTTGAGTTCAATCAAAATACCAGTCAATTTTTTAGAAATCATTTTGACAAAGAACCATTGACCATAAATTAAGTACTGTAAGGAAAACTAAGCGCCAGGTCATGAAAACTATCACACCTCCATATAATCGACAGTAACATGCCCCGTTCCTTGGTCATCCCACTTCCCATCACCACTCAGACGGTAGACTTTAACACGCTGAAATTTAATTGAAATTAAATATAAACTAAGAAGCACTTTCACCAGTTAAGAAAAACTTAACAGAATTCTCACTTAACAATGGTGCCAAAGATAATAGGCAGACATACAATAGAAACCCACCATTGAAAGATACACCATGATCAAATATGTCTATAGTGCACAAGGAAGAGAGGTTCATAGTGTGTACATACGGTGACTACAACCAGTTCTGAAAAAGCTTCTCGAGAGCTAATAGTGAAAAACATGGTTGTTAGAATCGTGTGATTCACAATACAATTTAGTTATATTGATATTTATTTTATGTTAAACATTGAGTATTTGTAGAAATATATGAAATGGCAAATACTAACAAGAGCCCCGGCGGAATTGTTTAGTATTGGGATTTATGTAAAAAGTGTTTTGGAAATGGTGAAAAAGTTTTTTTACAAAATTAATTCAATGAGAAAATGTATTGAAAATTAGTGAAAATTGTCTTATATTTTGCAACTTTTTTGTTTTTTTCTTATGCCCCAGAAGCACTTGTTATCAAGACCCATATAAAATTTATATTGTTACAACCCAGTCTACTAACCTTGATGTTGTAGGCGTGAAACTAGAATTCTCAATTATGCTTGTATTTTTCTATTTTAATGGCATAGGTGTTAAAAACTTTAGACCAGGTCAACCCATTCAAACACATTTTTTTCATTTTACTTTTTAATAAGCAAAAAGGCACCAAGGGGGGGTTCCTACCAAATGCATATGTCAGAAGCTTGATTTTTTGAAGCTATTTGTGTTTTAACTTGTATCAAAGCTCTGATTCCAAAAACTAAGTTCAAGTTTTGTAATCTGTTTTGTTCCCCACTATGCTTATCATGCAGCACACTATTCTGTGTATTTGTGCACCATGTTCAGTTCAGGACTGATTCATTGGTTTGGTCCTCCATGTGCAAAACATAGTCACACGCGAAGGAGGTGTTAGATAAACCTTGAGGTTGTAGGCGTGAAACTAGAATTCTCAATTATGCCACAAGTTAGGTATTGCCCAATCTATCCTCCGAGAAGAACCCCATTCAATGGGAACTTAACTGTGCAAAAAAAATTTTTATATTATTAAATAAAGTGAATCTTATGTAACTCGATTCAAATCTATTTGCTATTTGAACAAATTTCTTCTTGTTTTATCAAGCTCCATGAATTGGAGTATTTGTAATATCAAACCTGGTAAATCCTAAAGCTCCATTCAATAGCAAAAAAAAAATAATGTACAATAAAATACAAATGGTTTATTTTTCTGCTATAGTTCAGTTTATTAGATACGGCTCATTATTTTGCTAAGAAATATTAAACTGGGGATTGTGGGGGGTTCCCATAGGGAGCATCCTCCCAAGAATAGGTGTATATGTATGCCACATTCAGTAAAATTGTAGTAGGGCCCAAAATGATTTTTATTTTCCTACTCCTTTTCCTTTTCCCCTTCCTATCCCCCATCAATTAAATGCAGCATAAGGAATTTTTGGGGCATTTGCAAAATGGCCCCAACCAACTTGCAAAGTGACATAATATCAGCAGCTATACTCCAAAATATTGGATTAATATGCCATTTGGCAAAATAGAGGCAAAGCCACACTCTACCTAGACACCGAAAGACAAGTAAGGTCACACATGCCCTCACTATGCAGGCAATCAAGGTTGTCACAAACTCCAGCAAATATTTTTTCAAATAACTTGTTTCATTCAGTTTTCCAACACTACTAATCCTATCATGTACTTGGCAAATAGCATATCACAAACCTAGCAAAGTTCTCAACCTTTGTACTATCATGTAATCAACAAATAACATTGAAATGCTATTTCCAACACTTCACTTTTAAATGGCCGACTTGTTACAAGGATCAAGTCTTGATTACAGGTACTGCCACCTGCCACAAACAAAATGCCCATTTCCAAGCATTTCTAAACTGGGTCACTGCCACTCAGCTGGCACTAAAACCCTTAGTGACCAGCACAGAAATGTGCTTAAAAACACCTCCACAATACTCGATAACAACTGTGAAATATTCCAACAATGATTGGACCAACTAATAAACCTTGTGAAAAGAAAATTGAAATTTTCTTTCCTCTGAATCAAACCAAACAACGCAAACCAACTTAGGGTCCAAGAAACTAGAATCCCACTGCAACCCTAAAACACAAGCAAATCAAACACTATAATATTACAATTTTACGCTCACAGCACCAAAAGCAAGTGAATTCGCCTTGATAAAATACAATCAAACCACATAATTGAAGTCTGTATTTAAGACCCAACTCAATAATAACAAGTAAACTATGAGAACCTCAATTCTAGGGCAAAAGAAATAAGCTTTTGCTTCAACAGTGAAACCCCTCACCTTCATCGAATGCTTCGCCGTCGGAGATTTCTCTTGCGCACCCATCACGCTTCTCAGTACAAAAGCTACGGATATTGAATTGGAAACTCGGATTGAATTGAAATTAGGGTTTTGGAGGGTCGAGAAGAGAGATAGCAGGGAAGATAAAAATGAAAAAGGGGTTTGATTATCGGGAGGTAGAATAATCAATAGAAACCCTAAACGGCCATTGACGACTCAGAGTGAAACTTCGGTGTTCTCTCTCCCTCTCTCTCTCTCCTCGTCTCTGTGAAGTGTTGGTTTGTGCCCGACCATTGAAAATGGAGGGAGCGTCTATTTTCACACGCTCATTCCACTCTTTACACCTTTTCTTTCAATAAATAATTGGTTCGGAATTATAATAGTTTTAAAAATAAACAATTGGTTTAAAAGTAACATTTTATAAATAAATAACTTCTCTTTACATATCTTTTTTAATAAATAATTTATTCAGAAACAGAGTTTTGAAAATAAATAATTGGTTTAAAAGTAACATTTTGAAAATAAATAATTTGTTCAGAAATAGAGTTTTGAATTTTTTTTATTTTTTCAATATTTAACTTTCAAATATATTTATTTAATGTCCATAATAATAATTTTATTTGAAAATAAAATTATAATAAAAATAATTTTTATTAAAGGGTTATTTGGGATGTCTTAAATAAGTGTAGTTTTTGTCTTTTTAGACTAAAAAGTTGAGGTTTAAAATATGAACATTTGGGTTAACTTTTTGACTTTTTATAGAAAAATGTGTATTAAAAAATTATATAAATTAATGTGTAGAGGAAAATTTTAGTATTGGGAATTGTGCAGCTGTAATTGTTGACTTTTGGTGAATAATGATAACTTTTTAACTTTTTGAATAACTTTTTAACTTTTCTAAGATTTTCCAAACTTGACCTAAGTGTGGGTAAAGAGGAGAATGGAATGTGCAACTAGAAACTCCCGAAAATGGGGAGCATCTATTTACACACACACCTCTCTCTATACACATCCTTCACACACAACTCTCTAACACACTCTCTCATTAAGTGTGTGAGAAAAGAGGATATAGTGTGTGCAAATAGAAGCTCCCCGAAAATGGATGAGCATTGCGAGTGGTAAGATATGAAATCCCTATATTGCCCAGTGCCGGGGAATCAAATTACAAGTGTACCCACCCACAAGAAATCATTTGCTAGAAGCGTCCTACCTATGTAGGGGTGTGACCTTAGTAAGAGGGACGCGTAGCTCATTTTGCCCTTCTTTTTTTTGTGGTTCAGCCAGTAAATATATGAGGCCAAGTTTACACGTATTTCTTTTTTTCATGATTATTTATAAATAAATAAAGAAGGACACAATCGAGATTTGATTAAAATATGAATTTTGTTAAGATTTGAAAAATTATAAATTGCTCCTAAAATTTATATTTGCATAACAAATGAGAGGACAATTTATTATGTAAGTATAAATCTAAGGGAACAATTTATTATGCAAATATAAACCTTACGAAGTGGGATGTAATTTTTCAAACCTCATGAGAAATCCGTATTTTAGTCAAATTTCGAGGGTTTTGAAAATTTGCCCCAAAAAAAATTTATACATGACATGGATAGGCCCACAAGGCATACGGCCCACAGTAAACCACCCCGAACCCAGATGGGGCCAATGGCATAACCCGATTGGCAAGGCCCAGAACAGCTGGAGGCCACCTAGACATGAAGGGCCAATGGCATTTAGGCACACGGCAGGTGGGACACGGGCCACATCAGCAGACAAAGATCTGCAGAGTTATTATCACAACACATCACCATTAATGCAACCCATCACAACATTTATTACGACAGCACTCCCCGCCGGAACAGAGCCTTCATCACCCTAAACAAGATGAGCTATGGCACAGGCTTTCGGCGAAAAAAAGCACGTCACAAGAGACAGAAAAAATGATTACTAAAGGATATAAGCAAGGATAAGAGGGGAAGAAGAAGGTTAAGCTATCTCTCTCTCGATCTCTCTATATACAGTTTTTCCATACTCTACTCTACTAATTTCTCGCACCGGAGGGTTCACTAGGGGACTACCTCGTTCCCCCCTGAACTTGCATGCAGGTCACCTGACGGAGTCTCCTTCTTGAGCCGGAGCCTGAAGAGCCTGGACCGGTCCGACCCATCCACCCGGGAATCAATACCTTATCAATACATATTTCAATTAATTTCTTTCAAATTCAATTAAAGACAGATTATTTATACTAGAATTAAAAAATTTACGAAAAATTATTTTTTCATAATTTAATCCCAATAATTAAACTCTAAACGATATGAGGAGCACACTACCAACCTTAGGTTTACTTTGCCCTCCATTCTTTATACAAGGTGATTATTAATAACATTATAAATTTAGACTTATAAATTCACAATTTATTTAGAAAAATAAATCAATAGTTTAAATTTATTTTACTCATAAATTCTACACTTTTTTAATTTAATTTTCACCATACACACACATTTATAAATAAATTATGAATTAATATGGGTGAATTCATAACATTTTTGGGTGATCATATACTCATCTTATTTAGTGTGTTTGATTTCAACTTTTTAGAAATTAAGTTTTTTATTTCTTATTTTTTATTTTTAGTGAATATTTTTAAAATGTGAAGCAATTTTTTTACTTTTTTAGATGCACCTTACTTTTTTTTTTTTTGAACGGCTTATATGCACCTTACTTAGATGTATCTAAATAGTAAAATATTTTTGAAAAAATATTTTAAAAATTAATAAATACACAAAATATGAAAATTTTACTGAATTTTTTTTCCCTTATTTTTTGGTTTTTAGTGAATTTTTTTTTAAAAAAATCACAAATATTATACTTTTTAAGTGTTTTTATGTTAGGTGTGTGAAAATTAAAAACAAATTACTTAAAATATTAAAAAAATTCAGTGAAAATTTAAAAAAAATAAAAATTTTTGAAAAGTAAATTCTGAAAATAAAAATCAAACAGGGTGATTGGTTTTCCATATTATCTATATCAATAATCAAATAATGTCGATATAACCACATTTCTACCAATTTTGTTACACACATTCTCACTTGATTCAACACTCGTGTGAAAAAACTGTATAAAATAATATGTAAACAAATTAAGAACCTATATATATATATTATTGGGAAAGGACTGTAGACATTTTATTAAAAAATAAAAAAAACAGAATTCCATATTTTTTGAATTATAATTAAAAAAATCATAACTAAATATCACATGAAATATAATTAAAAATCTCATGAGTCATAAAAGTAAAATTAGTCATAACTAAAAAATAAAATAACATAATTAAGGATAAATATAATATGCTTCTTTTAAGGGGTGTGTATAATAAAATTTTTCATATTATTATATAAGTCAAACTTACAATTATTACGCTAGAATGTCACCCTTTACAAATTTAAATTTTTAATATTTGAATCGCTTGACTATAAAAAAATTATTCCACTGTTATTCCTACAAAAGATAAATTTTGTGTTTTTTTTTTTATAATTTAAATGCCTAAATGGATGATTTTGAAATTGACAAAAATAAAAAGGTAATACATAATAAGAGAGTAAAGTGTAAATCAAAAAATAATGCAATGTTATAATAATTTTAATTTTTTAATTTTTTATTTTTACCATAGTAAACAAGGCACACGGCTAATGTAATGTTTCAAATCCATAAGATGATTTGCTTGAAAACATGTTGGCAAGAGTGGGACGCCATATATTTGAATGAAGTGAGACGGTGCACTTTTGTCAATTTTGTTATTCATCATGTACAATTGTGTATGTATGCCTAGTTTTTCAGACTTTTATTATAATTTATCCTCTCACTACAAGAAAATGGGGCTTAAAAGACGGAACTATTTGCGACGGTACACTTGCTGTCGCAAAAAATACCGTCTCAAAAAACAGAGTATTTGCAACGGTAAAAAATGCCGTCTCAAAAAACAGAGTATTTGCGACGGTAGAAAAATACCGTCCAAAAAACAGAGTATTTGCAACGGTAAAAAATGCCGTCTCAAAAAACAGAGTATTTGCAACGGTAAAAAATGCCGTCTCAAAAAACAGAGTATTTGCAACGGTAAAAAATGCCGTCTCAAAAAACAGAGTATTTGCGACGGTAGAAAAATACCGTCGCAAAAAAAGAGAGTATTTGCGACGGTATTTTCTGCCGTCGCAAATACTCTTCTTTTTTGAGACGGTATTTTTCTACCGTCGCAAATACTCTATTTTTTGAGACAGTATTTTTTACCGTCGCAAAAAGTCACTTTTGTGGTTTTTTTTTTAAGTGAATATTTTTAAATTTTTAAATATTTTTTTTAGATGCACTTTACTTAAATGTATCTAAAAAAAAATTATGAAAAAATATTTTTAAAAATTAATAAATACATACAAATATAAAAAAAAAATGGCAGCCAATTACCCGCTCAAGCCAAGGCCGACCTTACTGCCCTCTTAACCGAGCACAGAGATGTATTCGCCTGGACTCATTCTGACATGCCAGGCATCGACCCCTCCTTCATAACCCATCGCCTTAGCATCGAACCCCATTTTCGACCCCACCGCCAGAAGCAGCGCATCTTCCATCCGGAGCGCAACATCCTTATAGCCGCCGAAGTTAACAAGCTCCTCGAGGCCCAATTCATCAGAAATGTGGACTATCCTAGGTGGTTGTCCAATGTGGTCCTCGTCCGAAAACACAATGGCAAATGGCGGCTTTGTGTCGACTACTCGGACTTGAACCGAGCATGTCCTAAAGACAGTTACCCCCTCCCTCGCATAGATCTGTTGGTCGACGCCACCGCCGGTCATCAAATGCTCAGCTTCATGGATGCCTTCTCTGGGTACAACCAAATCCTAATGCACACATCCGACCAGGAGGACACATCATTTATTACCGACCGCGGTACTTACCATTATCGGGTAATGCCGTTCGGATTGAAGAATGCTGGGGCCACTTATCAGCGGCTGGTTAACACCGTTTTCCATCACCAAATAGGCCGGAATATGGAAGTCTACGTCGACGACATGCTAGTCAAAAGCAAATACTCCTCCGACCACCTCACTGATTTACGAGAAACCTTCACCACCCTGCGTAAGTACCAGATGAAGCTCAACCCAGAGAAGTGCGCGTTCGGTGTAGGATCTGGCAAATTTTTGGGTTTTATGGTCAGCCAACGCGGCATCGAAGCTAACCCTGAGAAGATCAAAGCCTTGGTCGAGATGCAGTCACCTCGGACGGTCAAAGAAGTTCAGAGGCTCACCGGCCGAGTGGCGGCCCTTAACCGCTTCATCTCCC